AACCCGGCTGCCTGAGTTCAGTTCCCAGTCATCCAGCAGTGGACTGACAAAGAGGCCTTGTATGATTATTATTGGTTGCACGTGGCTTAACCTAGGCGGCACAATACACATCCATACCCCACACTGGTTCAACTTGGATGCTCGCTCGGGGTGTAAACATTCACTCCCATTTCCCCACAAGGCAGTTCAAACCATTGTGAGGAATCTCGGCCATGATTCGATTCATAAATTAAGTTTTTGACATTTTTTCTGCAGTGTTTCGTCGCTTGTGTCCGTTTCGTTTGTCCCACTTTCTCTTTTCCATGAGCCGCAATGTAGCACGAGTACATCACTGGCATGGAGTGAAAATCATTGATGATTATATCCGCCATTCGATGCAAGTTTGACGAAACTTAGGAATCGATTAATCGCATGATGTTCCCTGGCCACCGTACAGCCGGTGTGGCGTCAACACAACGTTGGAAGAGAATTGAAAGCAGCTCAACGGGGGAAAAAAAAAAATCAGAGTATGTTTTGTATTAAGAGTCGGTTGTCCACCGCAGAGTAACTTTGCGTCTGGAGGTGGCTGGCTTTCGATTTAAAGACCCGAAAACGCAACCGTGTCTGGATACACTTCCATCGAACCATGCCCAAACAACAGCTTTGCCTGGGGAGGACACTTGATTTGTGGCTGTGTTTTTTAATTTAATTATTGTCGAGTCCAAGATCCAGTGCCTGGCACCCACTACAGTCATGTGTGGATGAGCAGTGGTGTTTTGAGCAGCTCAGTGCCAATGGAAAAAAAAAACACATTCTGCAATTCTCTTCGAGAAACGCATTGTCCAGAGAAGCCATTTGTTCAGAAGCCATTTGGAAATTGCATTTTCCATGCTATCGTTTGGTGCAAACGTCAATTAAAAACAGCGCAGCGTTAAAAGGCAGGCATGGCCTCGTCATCCACAGCACGCAATGGATATGAAATGATGTGGTGTGGGTTATTTGGAATCCTGGGTAATCTGCACGGTTGAAGTGAAGGGAGCGCGCTTAGCCGCTCACACACTTACCGCACGCATCTCACAAGCGCACGCTATTGGCGCGCACTTGTTTCTAAACTCGGAACATCTGTGTGTCCCCGATCACAACTTTGTCCTCCGGAGTGCTAGCAGTGTTGTTGCTTTCATTTACTGCCGAGCTGATCTAGAGGAAGTCCTTCTTTTGCTCAGACACACTCAGTGACACGGTCTCTCAGTAAAGACATTACGTTGGGTATGCACTGAGCTTTTTTCAATAACTGTCACCTCTCTGGATAATATTTAACATCATCATCATGGTCATAGTCATCACCTCTTCAACGGAGCATTGGCTTTGCCGGGGCGAAAGAGGCTTGAGAGCCTTGTAGACCCGAGTAGCTGCCCTGGTAGCGGCACCAGTACCACAACCCGGCACTCGGTAAGACAAAATAGTACCAACCGCATTGACCAGCATGGCGAGTATGGTCAACCCCCTGCAACTAATTAACATACCATTTAATAGCATCATACGAATGCAAATCACACAGGGTTACATTACACGGGCCATTGATGAATCCCATAGGGTCCTCCTAGCCATACAATATTTGAAATTCTGTAGCATTTTAGACGAGCGCTTAGCCAAAACACACACACACACGCTGTGGTTGCTTAAACAAAAGCTCTCCAAACAGCCAAATAATTCCATAAACGGCCAAATGAGAATGTGTTTATTAGTATAAGGGTATTTAATAGTGATCTCACGACCTACAGGGGGTTGAACATCTGCTTTGCATTCGTGGGGGCTGGTGTGTGTGTGTGTGGTGTCCAACCACCCACGCCTTCCCGTAAAACTTAAAAACGAAAGTCGGTGCGGCCACTGCCGCCGCCGACGATACCCAGCAGCTTGCGCTGGCTGGGTCACTCAGCAGGGCAACGTTGCTCGTCTGGGTAATCCTACTATTCGTGGAATTGTTAAAATATCTTCTTGGTTCTTTCGGTAAAGTCACGTAGAATGGAAATAATAAAATAATAAAATAAAACTTTTTTTAATTCCATTCTACGTGATTCAATCTTAATTTTAGAACTTTCGTGACCACCCTCCCAGCCCCACCGTCCCCTCCCCACCCAGCCCCTCCCTCCCCACCCAGCCCCTCACTGCATGATGGACGGACGGACACAATAATTCCCTGTGGGCTGGTGTAACCAGGAGGTTCCAACCAGTATAACGTTTTCGTAACAGGCCGTATTGTACAGCTGCTCCGGTACGAGATGCTTCCCATGCGGTGTCGGCTTTGATGGCTATTTGACCATACTTCAACATGATGGTCACTGCGAGTTGGTGCATGGGGTGGGGGGGGGCTGGATAAGTTCATAATTCACTCGCCACGGTTGTTATCCATGGCTGGGAATAGAAGTCGGGTCACCGGTTTCAGAGTGAAGTGCGCTAACCACTGCGCCATCATTTAAAATGTATTAAATCACAGGGGGCCAGGTGGCTCAGAGGTCAGAGCTGAGATCCTGGGTTAGAATCCTGGCAGCTGCTTGCGCTGAGACCACGTGATCGAATATCGTGAGCTGATGGTCTCAATCCAGTCACCAATGAACACAGTAAATTTGATCCTGCACTTAATTTGTCGAAATTCCAGCTCTGAGAATAACACATATTTCGTTCGGCTGTCGTGCGACGAAAAAACCCCATAACCGTGATGTAAATAGAGTGAAGCTCTGTGACATCCGCTTCTGTGGGACGCTCACGAACACGAGGGGATGCACTGCTCTGCGCGAGTTCCGATTGGATACGTTCGTCTCATGACGTGATGCCGATCGCACATTGCGAGATGCAATTGGCAGTACGTACACATAAAAAAAATACGAAAAAGCAATGGTTTCAATCTGCGGGATTAGGGAATGGGGTCGTTCGAAAGACGGCCACTGCAGCCTGCTGGGGAGAGCATGGCCGTCACAACCCTGGCGAATGGATCCACGGAGATGCTCGTGCTCATCCAGACCCCGGGTCAGGAGAGACGAGGAAATCCACAATCCACGCACCCGCAGCGACTCATAAGTCAGTGCTCTGGGGCGCAGGGGGCAGCAGCGTCGCCGGCGACATGTCAGGGAGAGGCTGCGCTCCTGTATGTAAATAATTCTGATGGATCGAATTGGAGGACGGTCATTCCCGTTTGGAGAGAGAAAGCAAACGTGTGTTTGTGAAATGATAAGAGTAACCACGTCTGTGCCCGATCACTCGCAATGCACCCGATTTCGTTCGGGTATTTGAAGCTAAGCAGTTTGGACTCTAGATACTGCTCGGGTGGGCGGCCACCATCATGCATGTAAAGGGGGGCTATCACATCGGCTGCTGTGGGGCTAAGTTGTGGGCAGCAGAAGGAAGTTCAGCAAGAGACATGTGCCAAAAATCTGTGTTCCTTGCCTTCAACAACCCAGATTAACAACCCACACAAAAGTATGGCAAAATAACGCCCATGACTTACATGGCAGGAGGAGGCTCACGTCCAGCAGTGGATTGACCCAAGGGATGTACATGTACAAATATAAACATGGCTAATACAAAACAAGATCTAATAATAAATCCTGTGAGAAAATGGTATTTGTATGGTACATAGACGTACAAACACAACACTTGCAATGAATACTGTATACGCAGCAACTTAATTAGTAATTGCATTAACAAAATACTATTAAATTTTGATTTAAAGCTTTCGTGACTGCAGGGATTCATATGCTTGGTTCTTTCGGTAAAGTCACGTAGAAGGGAAATAATAAAATAATACAAATATAAAAAATAACTATTATTTTATTATTTCCCTTTTATGTGACTTTACCGAAAGAACCAAGAATAAAATACTATTATTTGTAATTATAAGCATTTTACTGATAAGGGAAAAAATATTCTGCATGACTGCTCTCAACAATATGTCAACTGTAAAAACCAGACATCTTAAAAAAAAATCCTATTGGCTGCCAGCGAAGGAAAGTTGTTTTGATCTCTCATCTGAGATTTTGAACGTGGGTTGGACATTGACCACATGAAAGTTGCGTGGGAGTTCCTCGTCCAGGACCCCTTCCAGCCCATGCGTGTGTAACACACTCCAGATGACGTCTGTTTTGATCAAAAACTAAGTCGCAGGTGCACTGAGCCTGGGGCCCAACACGAGGTTGGAAATTGCGGCTACAAAATAAAACGAATCTCATGCTCCCAGCGCGGACACAAATCAGGCAAATTAAACTACACGGAGGGGCCGTTTTGTTACCTTGTGATAGCGAGACGTTCACTGAACCGTGGCAGCTCAATCCTCCAAGTATTCTGCCACCGTGGAGGCGAAAAACGTCGGCAGTGTTCTTCCTTTCTCTCCATTATCATCGCAGTTCCCATTTTTGGCATGTGGAAGATTTGCCCAGAGGGATCTTTGGCAGCTATGTGGATAGCCAAAGTTTAACATAATACTGCACGACAGATATGTGCAACGTGTAGATACTCCTTTACAAAATAGAATCAGACATTGATTTAAAAAAGAATTTGGTTTCTACCGTTCAATGAGAGGAAAGGAGAGAGCATATCACAATGTTTTGGCTTGCTTTACTTTTTCAGGAACTGTTTCAACTGATTGTGATCTTGATTTAGAACGTTTCTGTTATTTCTAAACAACCTGTTATTGACTGTATATATTCACTGAACCAGAAAATTAAGATTAATATGGAATACATGTGGTAAGCAAATGAAAGGTAGTCATCATCATCAGCCATGATCAATCCACTGCTTGATGAAGGCCTCCCCAAGTTGTCGCCATATCTCACGCACATTGAATTTCTCACGGAAACTAAAGATAGTATGAAATGAAATAAAAAAATTTATGAACATGCTGAGTTCAGCAGGACGATCGTATTGAGAGCACTTATACCGATGTCTGCAGTGTAACCAACGATCACCATTTAACGTTATGCCTCGCAGAAGACACTGCCCACACTGGATTTCTTTCTCCCCTTTGAAAGGTTCCCTGCATAGGTTTCTCGACGTGGGCACCACGCACAGAGAGGTCGACCGCAGGCAGCCCGGGGTCATGGCGAGCCCGCCGTGCCCATCTGCTGCTGGCCTGGGCGAGGACCTAAAGCAGATCGAGAGAGTGAAGGAGTCCATCGCGGACATCATCGGGCAGCTGGGTGAGGGCGACGACGCGGGCGGCCTCTCCTTCGCGCCCTTCCTCGACCTGGACACGCAAATCACGGTCGTCCCGGCCTCCAAGAGCCTCGGCTCTTCGCTGGACGAGCTGCGGTCCTCGCCCTCCTCCTCGGCCTCGTCCTCCACCTCCTCCTCGATGTCCGCCCTGGAATCGCCGTCCGAGTGCCGGCCCAAGTCGTCCGAGTCCCAGACCGAGCTCCTGGAGTCCCACCCGCAGGACCCCGCGCGCCACGGCGTCAAGGAGGACGGCGCCCCCTCCAAGCGTTCGTCGATGGCCGGGTCGAGCAGCAGCGGCAGGGGAACGTCGGCGGACAGATCGGGCCTGCGCTCCAACGGCTCGCTGCCCACCGCGGGGAATGGGCCGGGCCGCACGGTGGGCCAGGGCGGCCACCAGGTTACCGTGTTGCCGCTGAAAAGCTTCGCGGACCAGCGGCCGGGGCGCGTCGCCTGCACGGCCGAGCCGGAAACGGAGAGCGACCTGTCGCCATCCCCGCTGCACGCGCGGCGGGAGGGCGTCCCCGGGAGCCCGGAGACACGGCCCCTCCTGCGCCCGTCGTCCTCTTCCGACGGCGAGACGCTCGTCGCGGGCCTCTCGGGGCGGCCGTCGTCTCGCGTCAGCCTGGCGTGCGAAGACGGCGGCGCCGCGTGCCTGGAAGCGGCCGAAGCCCCGTCGGCGTGTGACGGAGCCGCAGGGAAGCCCGCGGGAGCGGGATGTGGAGGGTGCAGTGGTGGCGGTGGCAGCGGAGGAGGAGGAGGATCGCGCTGCGGCCGCCGTAAGCGGAGCGGCTGCTGCTGCTGCCGCTGCTGCGGACACTCGGCGGTGAGGGCGCAGGCGAAGGCCGTGGTGTCGGTGCTCCTGGCCGTGCTCACTGCCCCCGCTGCCCTCTTTGCCGCCTACGAGTACCTGCCCTACGAGGCGCCCGTGTGCCCGGACCTGGCCAGCCGCATGGTGTACGCGCTGCGCTGTGGCCTCTTCATGCTCTTCCCAACAGTGTTCGGTGAGTGCCAGGCCTGCACTCTGCATGGTCGACCCGACACGCCAGGCTAGACATTGTTTTTTTTTATTAATCTCGGTTTGTTATATGTATGTCTCATGATGCAGCATGTCAGGGCATGTAATATAATAACAATGTTGTGTATATCTGAGTCTTATCATGTAATGTTCAGATATTTGTATTTTAATCTTCTGGTCTATACATGAGCCTGAAGACACACTTTTTATCCTTAATAGGACATATTATTTCATTTGAAATATATTGTAAAATGTCAGGGTCCAGTTATAGAACTAGATCTCAGTCCTGCTTCTTTTGAAAATCCATACAAGAGAATGGCTTTTCATTTGCTCGGAGTTAGGAGTGTGATCGGTGCAAAACCTGAGAAAGGGTTGGTGCTACATTAGATGGTGTGTTATCAAAAGTTATATTGACCTTGTGTTCAAACAAGCTCTGGGCTGTGCTTATATTTGATCAAGGTTTTGAGAAAAATTAATGAATTACACATTTGTTCAGTGGGGACCAGCCTTGTATAACCACTATATTTAATAACACACACAGCAGCAGGAAGCCACAATTCCCACAATGCCTCGCATGTCATGTGATCGCCACATCGCACGTACAAAGCTCTCAGCCTTATGCAGACCACCAGCTTAGGAGCTAAACATCTGCCCATAGTGTTGTATAGACCACCAATACGAAGAGTTTAACAATCTGACAACCCCAACAGCCTGCACGCACTTTATTGTTGCGATTTGGTTCTTCTCATCATTTGCAGGTGTTGGATTTGAATTAGGATAACCGCCGTTGTTGGCCTTTCTACCAGGTGGAACGGCTTGTTCCAGTTGGACAAGAGTATGAGTCATCATATCTCGATATCTCAAATGTGGCCACATGGGTTTCAGCTCAGAGAAGGAGAGCGAGCAAGTCTACTGCTACTGACGCAAGAAGCCAGTCACACGCTGCAATTATCTTGACTTTCAACCTTTGCTCTGCTCAGCAGAGGGTGGGGGGGCAGCAAGGCGACCGTGGCTCATTACGAGATGCAACTGAGTGCCAATGCCCACCCCCCCGTTCTTAACAAAATGTTATTACTTTTGAAGACCTTAGAGCCAACAAACTTCCATTTGTATTACTCCACACCTTTTGGACAAAATCTATTCAACGAACTAAAGCTTGAGATGCATATATTGTGGATAAAATAATTGTGATACTTCATTGGCAGTGGCGCACATGCAAAATTATCAAAAGCTTAACGCATTCGTCAATAAGAGTAAAAACAACACTTTGAGGCGACGTTTCAGGCAATGGCCCTTCTTCATCTCTCTGCTATGATAGAAGGGCCTTTGCACGAATGTCGCCTATCATATTTGCATTCCTTTAAGTGCAGCGTCATTGATGAAAGTACGGAGTTATTGACATGTATTTGTGCAATTGGTTATTCACTATTTATGTAAATGATATACAAACATACCCATGTGTTTATGACAAACAAGACAGAGCAAACGAGACGCAACATACAAGACAGGCTACACAAATTAGACCAAACAATTCAATCTTGATTAGAAGCATCACACTGAATCGTGACAATCTATTCAGCGTCCAGTTGAACGGTTACAAACCGAGTAGTCTCGCATCCATTGATGTTGTAAATGAAGAGTCAACTCACTGCTGGATGAGGGATTCCCTACGATGTGTGGATCATAGGGGGGGGGTCATTTGGTAACCCTGCACAACGCTGGTCAGTGTGTAGGTTGGCAAAGCAGGGGAGCATAGACGTGGGTTTTGCTGAAACTGCTCTCTGCTTTCCCACAATGCATCTCACAGCCTGTTGTTGGCATTGTTGTCAGCCCTAACTTCCCACTGCCGAGCGAAGGGTTCCCTCATTTCCTTCAATTCCTCTCTTTACTCTGTCGCTCTTGTCCAGCAGCGGCCTCTGTATGTTATGATGTAATCCGACCTCCTCTTCCACTGTTGCCCACAGCTCCTTTCCCCTTCTCTCGGTCTCCACTCCTCAGCTTATTTCCTCATCTCTCCTCTCTCGTCAGTTGTTCTCAAGACTATCCCACCAATTCCCCGCACCTCCGATTAGCGCGCGTTGGCTACGTACGGTGCGAAAGAAGTTCCAACATACATACGTACATTTCCACTTTTTCGCGCAACGCAGCAGAGACATTTTTCTTGTGGAACGTCAATGTGTAACCACACCACCCACGGGGGGCGAAATAACCCAGCTTTGGCGAGCGAGCTGCCGGCCTGCGCGCACGTCAGAGGTCGCAACCGGGTACCCGATACCCGTACCCTACCCGATACCCGTACCCTACCCGATACCCGTACCCTTCCCGATACCCGTACCCTACCCGATACCCGTACCCTACCCGATACCCGTACCCTACCCGATACCCGTACCCTACCCGATACCCGTACCCTACCCGATACCCATACCCTACCCGATACCCGGCTATCCATACCCGGCCGGGTACGGGTACGGGTAGGCCGTGAGTCACTGGTGAGTAACCGTTTGTCACTCATTTCGGGTAGGGTACGGGTACGGGTAGGGAACGGGTACCCGTACCCGGCCGGGTACGTGTACCCATTTGCGACCCTGGTGCGGCCGGGTAAGGGTACGGAATCAAAACCCGTTTGCGACCTCTGGCGCACGTCCACCCCGTGGCACCCCAGGTGTGCTGGCGCAGGGCGTGGTGCGGCTGTGCGCCTGCTCGGGAGGTTCGCCGGGACGTCGCGCCGAGCGTGAGCGCAGCGTGAACACGTGGGGACGCCACGCCGCCGGCTCCACCGAGCAGCTGCTCCTCTACCTGCTCAACCTGCTGGCGCTCGCCTCCTACCTGCAGCAGGCCGACCTCAAGGTGCTGCCCAGCCTCGCCGCTCTCTTCGCCATCGGGAGGTGCGTTGGTCCAGGATTGTGATCGGAGGTCGCAGGTCGAGATGTCATCATGGCCGTGAGCCGTTGATGGCAACGTAAGCTTGGCAAGGATGTATTCCGCCAGATCTGGCAGCTGCTGCACAGTAGACACACGACCTCTAAGGTCGTCCCTAATAGTTCCCCACCATCTGCTCTTAGGTCTTTCTCCCTTGGCCGCCAGATTAACGGAGACTGGACCAATTCCTGCCTCGGCGATTGGCGCTCACTTATCCTGCACACATGTCTCAGCCAGCTCAGCCGTTGTTGCGTAATCATATCTACAACGCTGGAGTGTGTGCGAAGTTAACGTTGTAAAATTCATAAAAACTACTCCAGTGATGTAATGTATATGAACATTATAAACTGTGTCCTTTCCAATTTAGATAAACATTACCAATTAAAAATATAACGAAAAATTACAAAAAGTATGGGGAATATTAAATTGCTTGCAATTTAGAAACTGCCCATCTCTGTCAGTATAGTGTATGTTAGGGATGTGCTCTAATTTTGAGATTAATATAAATCTGAAAATCAGGCCTAGATACCAAATTTGGTAGCCCCCCTGAACCCAAGACTCTTTTGTCTGAAGTGTCCTGCATTGGGATGTTTGTCTAATTTCATGAGTGAGTGTTTGGCATATACAATCTACACACACATAGTGTGTGCTTCCATGCATCCTGCAGTGATTTCTCTTTATCGCCAACCCAAGGACTCACCTTCTTGGTTCTTTCGGTAAAGTCACGTAGAAGGAAAATAATAAAATAATAAAAATAAAACATAATAAAATAAGATAAATATATATTTTATTAAATAATAAAATAATAAAACTAAGCCGTTGTAAAATTATATAAATATATATTTTATTATGTTTTTTTTATTTTATTACTTTCCTTCTACGTGACTTTACCAAAAGAACCAAGAAGATGAATCCCTGCAGTCACGAAAGCTTTAAATCGAAACCCAATGTCTGTTGGGTAAAAAAAAACATGTTGAGCTCAGTGGCTTATTAAAAGAGAGAGTCTCGGGCTCCCATTTGATTTTAAAAGATTGTGGGCCAGATTCCCATCTCGATGAAATGGCTGCAGCAAATCGTTTTGGCGATTTGCCCCCATTGTACGTAATGGAGACATGGCACGTTGTCGCGAAAAAATTAGATGAAAATAAAACGTATGTGCAGGCAACGAAAATACAGTACTGTACGTCCAACTGCGTAATGTTAAAGAAATGCTGCTGGAAAACTTTGGTCCAGGAGGCTCATAAACTGGTTCACCAAGATGTTATTTTATTTAAATAGGGTTAAACGGACCCTTTGTTGCTTATTTATTATTTTACGTGTTAAATTATGTTTTCTCCAGATGTTGACAGATGTATAATAAACTTTCACCGATGCATGAATGCCTGGCATAACATGCCAATTAAGCTGCCAAAGAAACGAGTGTGGAGGTTTTAAGCAAATCCCATCGTTAGGTTGAATTTGTCCGTGGTGGAGATTGTATTGACACAGAAAAGTACGATAAATCTGAGACCCCAGTCTCAGATTTATCGTGTGGAGCTGTGAAATTTCCATGCAGACTGATGTCCTTTACGGATGTGAGCGCTGTATGCCGTCTTGTATGCTTAGCAGTGTGATGTCTCATCTAGACTGGTGTACCTGCTGAGCTGTATCACATCTAGACTGGTGTACCTGCTGAGCTGTATCACATCTAGACTGGTGTACCTGCTGTGCTGTATCACATCTAGACTGGTGTACCTGCTGTGAGCTGTATCTCATCTAGACTGGTGTACCTGCTGTGAGCTGTATCACATCTAGACTGGTGTACCTGCTGTGCTGTATCACATCTAGACTGGTGTACCTGCTGTGCTGTATCTCATCTAGACTGGTGTACCTGCTGTGAGCTGTATCACATCTAGACTGGTGTACCTGCTGTGCTGTATCACATCTAGACTGGTGTACCTGCTGAGCTGTATCACATCTAGACTGGTGTACCTGCTGTGCTGTATCACATCTAGACTGGTGTACCTGCTGTGAGCTGTATCACATCTAGACTGGTGTACCTGCTGTGCTGTATCACATCTAGACTGGTGTACCTGCTGTGAGCTGTATCTCATCTAGACTGGTGTACCTGCTGTGAGCTGTATCTCATCTAGACTGGTGTACCTGCTGTGTGCTGTATCACATCTAGACTGGTGTACCTGCTGTGAGCTGTATCTCATCTAGACTGATGTACCTGCTGAGCTGTATCACATCTAGACTGGTGTACCTGCTGTGAGCTGTATCTCATCTAGACTGGTGTACCTGCTGTGAGCTGTATCACATCTAGACTGGTGTACCTGCTGTGTGCTGTATCACATCTAGACTGGTGTACCTGCTGTGAGCTGTATCACATCTAGACTGGTGTACCTGCTGTGAGCTGTATCACATCTAGACTGGTGTACCTGCTGTGAGCTGTATCACATCTAGACTGGTGTACCTGCTGTGAGCTGTATCACATCTAGACTGGTGTACCTGCTGTGCTGTATCACATCTAGACTGGTGTACCTGCTGTGAGCTGTATCTCATCTAGACTGGTGTACCTGCTGAGCTGTATCACATCTAGACTGGTGTACCTGCTGAGCTGTATCACATCTAGACTGGTGTACCTGCTGTGCTGTATCTCATCTAGACTGGTGTACCTGCTGTGAGATGTATCTCATCTAGACTGGTGTACCTGCTGAGCTGTATCTCATCTAGACTGGTGTACCTGCTGTGAGCTGTATCTCACCTAGACTGGTGTACCTGCTGTGAGCTGTATCACATCTAGACTGGTGTACCTGCTGTGAGCTGTATCTCATCTAGACTGGTGTACCTGCTGAGCTGTATCTCATCTAGAAGGTGTACCTGCTGTGAGCTGTATCTCACCTAGACTGGTGTGCCTGCTGTGAGCTGTATCACATCTAGACTGGTGTACCTGCTGAGCTGTATCACATCTAGACTGGTGTACCTGCTGTGCTGTATCTCACCTAGACTGGTGTACCTGCTGTGAGCTGTATCACATCTAGACTGGTGTACCTGCTGTGAGCTATATCTCATCTAGACTGGTGTACCTGCTGTGCTGTATCTCACCTAGACTGGTGTACCTGCTGTGAGCTGTATCACATCTAGACTGGTGTACCTGCTGTGAGCTATATCTCATCTAGACTGGTGTACCTGCTGTGCTGTATCTCACCTAGACTGGTGTACCTGCTGTGAGCTGTATCACATCTAGACTGGTGTACCTGCTGAGCTGTATCACATCTAGACTGGTGTACCTGCTGTGAGCTGTATCTCATCTAGACTGGTGTACCTGCTGAGCTGTATCACATCTAGACTGGTGTACCTGCTGAGCTGTATCACATCTAGACTGGTGTACCTGCTGTGAGCTGTATCACATCTAGACTGGTGTACCTGCTGAGCTGTATCTCATCTAGACTGGTGTACCTGCTGTGAGCTGTATCTCATCTAGACTGGTGTACCTGCTGAGCTGTATCACATCTAGACTGGTGTACCTGCTGTGTGCTGTATCTCATCTAGACTGGTGTACCTGCTGAGCTGTATCACATCTAGACTGGTGTACCTGCTGTGAGCTGTATCTCATCTAGACTGGTGTACCTGCTGAGCTGTATCTCATCTAGACTGGTGTACCTGCTGAGCTCTATCTCATCTAGACTGGTGTACCTGCTGAGCTGTATCTCATCTAGACTGGTGTACCTGCTGTGTGCTGTATCTCATCTAGACTGGTGTACCTGCTGAGCTGTATCACATCTAGACTGGTGTACCTGCTGAGCTGTATCACACCTAGACTGGTGTACCTGCTGTGCTTTATCACATCAAGACTGGTGTACCTGCTGAGCTGTATCACACCTAGACTGGTGTACCTGCTGTGCTTTATCACATCTAGACTGGTGTACCTGCTGTGAGCTGTATCACATCTAGACTGGTGTACCTGCTGTGCTTTATCACATCTAGACTGGTGTACCTGCTGTGAGCTGTATCACATCTAGACTGGTGTGCCTGCTGTGCTGTATCTCATCTAGACTGGTGTACCGGCTGTGTGCTGCATCTCATCTAGACTGGTGTACCTGCTGTGAGCTGTATCACATCTAGACTGGTGTACCTGCTGAGCTGTATCACATCTAGACTGGTGTACCTGCTGTGAGCTGTATCACATCTAGACTGGTGTGCCTGCTGTGCTGTATCTCATCTAGACTGGTGTACCGGCTGTGTGCTGCATCTCATCTAGACTGGTGTACCTGCTGTGAGCTGTATCACATCTAGACTGGTGTACCTGCTGAGCTGTATCACATCTAGACTGGTGTGCCTGCTGTGCTGTATCTCATCTAGACTGGTGTACCGGCTGTGAGCTGCATCTCATCTAGACTGGTGTACCTGCTGTGAGCTGTATCACATCTAGACTGGTGTACCTGCTGAGCTGTATCACATCTAGACTGGTGTACCTGCTGTGAGCTGTATCACATCTAGACTGGTGTGCCTGCTGTGCTGTATCTCATCTAGACTGGTGTACCGGCTGTGTGCTGCATCTCATCTAGACTGGTGTACCTGCTGTGAGCTGTATCACATCTAGACTGGTGTGCCTGCTGTGCTGTATCTCATCTAGACTGGTGTACCTGCTGTGTGCTGCATCTCATCTAGACTGGTGTACCGGCTGTGAGCTGTATCACATCTAGACTGGTGTACCTGCTGTGCCTGCTGTGCTGTATCTCACCTAGACTGGTGTACCTGCTGAGCTGCGTCCTGTGCCCTGGATGTCGGGGTTTCGGGTTCAGCCTCGTCTTCATTCCGGCGCTCGCCATGCTCTCCTACAACCTTTACTGCCTCTTCACGCTGGGCCTTGACCGCCTCTTCCTGCAGTCCTCGGACCTCGCGCCCACGGCCCCATCGCCGCCACGGCTCCGCTTCTGGGGCTGACGAGCGCCGATCGGCCGAGGCAAATGCAGTTCAGGAGTCGACACACGTGCGCACACACATGATACCAGACACAGCAGCGTGACACGAATTTAACGTCGCCCACCAAACCCAGCACCATGGTGTCAGGACCTGTATTAACACATGGGCTGTACCTCACTTGAGCAGCAAGTGGGTTAGTACATCTCCTGGTGGTGATGTCATCCGTACCGTAGTATCTTAATACAACATTGCTTCATTAAACCAGCAGTTCAGATAGAAGGGCTGGCAGATTAAGAAGTAAATTATGTATTCGAGATGAAGCCCAACTTCAACAGATGTGGCACCAACACTAGCTGTATCGATAAAATGTTCAGTCGGTCTGTAGTCTCGGGCAGAGTATAACAAATGGTGCTAAAATGTTTAATATAGTGCAGATCTAGACAGAGGAGGGGAATGAATTGGCAGAATGATATACACAGCAGCCATACAGTGGTTGTTAAAGTCAAAGCAGTTGGCTGATAATCATCAATAATAATTCAGCACGTTGGTGTTCGTGCCATTCTTAAAGGGCAAGGCAATCACGAAGACGCTGTGTAATCCCAATTCAGTAATTTTTACAAATGTTGCTGGTTTGGACAACACTAACATAAAAATTGCATACTCATTTCGAATGACATGCCATTTTTTTTATATCCACGGTGAAGCAGATGGTACCTTTTAATACGGTTAAAACACCTCCTGTGCCACATTTGAACCGTGCAACTCTGCAGAGTGGCGAATTTACTATACCACAAGGCCCTGCCAATGCCCCAAGGCCGTGACCGTGCCCGTTTGCTGGTAGCGCCCATATAGGATGGGGCAAATGGAAAGTTAATTCAATCAAACAATTCTGAGAGATTAGGTAAGTGTACAGCAACGGGAGTTGCCCCTTTAATAAATGGCTGGGTATAGGCATGTACGGTCTCTTATCAGGGCTTGATTTCAGCCGGAGCTGTCTGGGGCAAAGCTCTGGGAAATGTCTCCAGTTCGGAGTTAGGGTTCCGGAATATATATTTTAAAATAAGCCCTGGTATCTTACTTTAATGTTACACAGAGAATGGCCTCCGATGCATCGTCTTCTGCAAGCGGTAGCCAATTTAATCTTGGCCAATCACTTGCCGGGCTTTCCATAGCTACATTAACCTGCTGAATACATTGCACATGCCTCACCTATCAATTGATGCATGTTAATTGACAATATCTAACATACAAAATAGAAGCCGGGGTTGCAACGTGTAGGGTTGAGAACCAAGTGGTATAGAAGATCGACAGCATTCAGCCTTTGCTTTTGCAGCAGTTCCCTTGTTCGAGATACATTTGCCTTTTACAGCAGTGCACGCACACACACACAGCGATTATCAGTAACCCACCAAGGTGCTCACGGTCTTTATAGTCAAGTCAAATCTGTACTCGCCGTACATCGTACCGTAACACCTAGGTTCAACGTCGACGTGTGCTGTCGTGTGTAAGTGTGGGTAGATAGTTGCATGGAGACTCGCGCTGGGTTCTAGCATGAAGAACATCCGTTAGCCCGTCATGCCCAATGAAACACAATTCCCAGTCCTGCGACTCAACTCGAACCGCCGCGTCGTGTTGCTTTCATTTGCACACGTTGCCATATCACTCGGAATGCAGAAGCTAAGCAAAGATGAGCGTTGAGTAGTGCTGGATTGGTGACTGCCATACACAAACAGGTTGCCATAGACCGCGGGGGCGACGTGGGTGGGTAGGTCAGTGGAGCAGAATCTATTGCTGTGCTGTATTCCAACGCTCCCACGTCTATACCCCTCGTCTTCACCAACACGCATCGACGAGCACAATGATGTATGATCACATAACCCCCACAGCCTGCATAAGGTGTGGGGAGGCCCTTATCCAGCAGTGGATTGACAAAAGGGGCTATACTTGTACATACACAGCAGCTTAATTGGCACCATGTGGAGGACACACCATTCAGATTCATTGCGGGGGGACTCACAATGCCGGATATACCTGCAACACAAGCGAAGAAGACACGACACCCATAACAAAGCAAAATTGGCATTGTCCTCTGCCCGATGCCAATATCGGTGTTTGTGGCACGGTGCAGGTTGGCTTCAAGCCACGAAGAGGCGCTGCTGCGTGTGTGGCCGGGGTTAATTTGTCATCAAGCAGGGCGGGTGAAATGCGTGCTGCATCCGTGACCGCACAGAAGAGAGCCATTGTGCACACGTGTTTGTACAGATGCAGCTATCCGTTATTGTATTTAAGCTTGCCAGCTGTGCATGGATATTAAGCAGTCGTCTTATGTGGGTGCGTAGGCATTTACGTCTATGGATAAGGACCGGTTCTCTTGTGAGTACAGTATGCCCAGTGTTAACGTTGCATAAATGTAACTTTTATAAGAGATGACTATGTTTTTAAGTGTTTTATTCTCATTTTCACAGCTGCGATCTTCATTCCCCGCATATTTAAATTTATTTTTTAAATCATGAGAATGCAAATGATGGCCAGATCACTGCAGGTATTGTAACATAATTTAAATGCAATACTATTTTACGTACATTTACTTTAGGCATTTTACATACTATGACAGATTTAGGTTATTGTTGGTTTTTTATATATATTTTTAAAAAGTTACTTTAAAAAAAATCCACATTACGGTATCTTGTAATGAGTGAAGATATATACAGCACCATCAATACATTTTCAAGCAAACTTTGTCCTGTTGAGTTGACTGGGTGGTTGTGGCGGTGTTGTGACTGGTGCGTGATGTAAAGTGTATTATATAACACGTTTTAGTATCTTTTTTATATACTCCATTCGATGAACTACCAAAATAAAGCTTTGTCACTTTCTAACACGTTCTCTAGATTTTTTTAAAAGTCGATTACTGCACGAAGAAAAAAAGACTTTACCTTAGGTTTTTAAAATTATATTATAAATTGGTGCAAAACAAAATATAATCCGTCCAAGGACAGGATGGACACGCAACCAATCTGACCACAAGTTGAGAATGAGTCACCAACGCATACCAAATCCTTGCATCCAGTGAGAAAATCAAAGCCAGGGTTTTTAAACACAAGGTTTTTATGAAGAGTAATTAATAAGACAATTTACAAGGACTTGAAATAAATCCAACTTTAATATCCTATTTATATAAATATTATGAATGTAATGATGGATCAATTCATATATCTTTGAAGATCACGATGCATAGCACCGAATCACGTAAGAGAATGAATGCTTTTCGATTTGAATGCCCGATCTCATAAAATCCTAGAAGCTAAGCAGCTTTGGGCCGGGATAGTATTTTGGTGGGTGACCAACCTTGCATTAAACCGGTGTTTGTAGATTTCTGCCGATGCTACAAGCAAAGCTTGCAACAACAATGCATTTACCAACCCTAACTGGTTAGCATGGTAAAATAGTCCAAATAACCCTCACGACCCACACTTTGCTAGGAAAAACATATAAAAGGCTAACGATTCGAACAATGGCAGACCACTTATAAGAAAGGCCACTCTGAAGGTTTCTTGCCTGAAAATGTTAGCTTGAGTTATACAAGTCCTGTTATAACTCAGTATTCGAGAGAGAATGAGACGGGTTCTCTTCAATGTCAACACCTTCCTGGTGAGCTCAAGAAATGTACGAACGCGAGGATGGAAATGATTTCAATGCCGGCACGAAGCATATTTTCAGAAGTTTTGGAAATCCTCCTCAAGTTCCTTGTCCAGGGCAGCCTGTAGAGAGACAACATTGGGAAAAAAAGACTGATAAAAGTCTGATTGCGATTATAATCTGATCAGTCTAAAAATAATCTGAGCTGACATGCTACAGGGAATTTATTATTGAACATTGATTTATTATTGAACATTGATTTATACTTTGTGCATTATTTCCGATTTCTCACTACAGTTGTTTTTTTTTACTCTGTTTTCTATTTGCTTCATTGATGCAAAGACAGTTTTATTTGTTTTGCTTTTTTTATTTTGGCAACCCAGGTCACTCTTGAAAATTAGGCTCATGCTGGTCTCTTGCGTTCTTACCTCGTGGTTAAACATCATGAACTTTACTTAGATCAGAAGGCACTGTACTATATGAGTGAGATGATTAAAGGAAAAATGGCTGGAAAAACATTTGTCGGTTAAATAAGTAGTGACCTACCTTTAGGGACTCGCGACCAGTGCCAATTAAATTAGATTCCCTGCAAACATTAGAAACCTACCAGTTCTCTCTTGGCTTCCTCAATTTTAATTCTTGCCAGTGACACATTCTGTAAAATGGAAAGTGAGAATACATAATCAAGAAGCATTTCAAATATATGCAAAAATAAATACATTGGATGTTTCCAAACTATAACTTTGCATGCGTTTTGTGACTCGAAGGAAAATGAAATTCACATACATTTTAACGATTCGACTTTGGACGGCTGGAATTGTATAGCCAAGACTAAAACGCAGGCACTAAACATTAATGGCAAGCAACGCTCCTATACAGCTTGCTGCCTGCTTGCTCCCTAAAAAGGGAGGAAGCCCTGATCGTCTGTCAAACTGAATGATTGTTCTGGGCATGTTTATCATAGAGGGGCTGACGATCCATATGTGGATTCACTCGACACTGCTCTATGGCACTGTGCATGCATTCAATCATAGATGTTTAAAAAAAAAAAGCCTTTAAATCACCGGGGGGAGATCCTTATAAATGTTCAGCTCCGCTTTTAGGGTAGAAACTTTCTGCTTGAGCTTGGTAAGTTCCTGCAATGGAAAATATTAAGATATTTTGAGACATGATAATTGGTTCTTTACCCTTCTATCTGGCAACAAAACTGACACCTTTTTGCAAGGAGTCATGTTTGCATAGACCGCAATACCTGCAGTCATAATACAAACAAAAGAACATAACTCTGATAATGTGCACTGTCCTTGAAGTTGATTGGTCCACACCCGAGACAGCTTTCCTTCGAGCCTAGTCTCATATGGGTTGGACCAGATGACGCCAAAAGTGCGCCTTTTGGCGTCATCTGGTCCAACCCATATGAGACTAGGCTCGAAGGAAAGCTGTCTCGGGTGTGGACCAATCAACTTCAAGGACAGTGCACATTATCAGAGTTATGTTCTTTTGTTTGTATTATGACTGCAGGTATTGCGGTCTATGCAAACATGACTCCTTGCAAAAAGGTGTCAGTTTTGTTGCCAGATAGAAGGGTAAAGAACCAATTATCATATTTTTACTGGCAAATGAGGTCCCCATAGTATTTTGAGACACTTTTACACATGTATAAAGTCAGAAAATGTGTCTATTTGGTGTTATGTCAAGTACATTTTCTCTTACATTTAAGATTCAAACACGGGTCTGTGGTGATGACTTGTAATTTCTCTTCAGCACTTTTTCACGTCTCGTCCTTTTGAGGCTGAGTCCATTATAGTTTTTGTCTACAGTGTGCAGGGCGCTGTATTCCAGGGTAAGAATTGGTGGTTCATGTTTATTTGTGAAACACCCAACCCCACCGGGCTACGAGGTTTCCAAGAGATGGCAGGAAAGTAAGTAGGCTCACCAATGCATCTGTGCGAACCTCTGTCACCTAATAATGCATGGGGTTACTTCGGGTGCTCGCAAAACGTCTTGGGACTCAGGGAGTAGATTCAACAACACACAAAGGTGCTCATTTGCATGTACAAAAGCCTTATCCAGACCACAACTCAAAATAACTGAACGTGTGACTATTTTGTAATTTAGACCACTGAGTCAAAGTGATGCGACATTTTTGCTATCCCACACGTGAGTATTTACTGGATAAATAAACAATATTACAAGAGTTTTTACCTCCCCCTTTGTGACCAGCGACTGGTGGTATAGAGATGGATCTACGCCAGATGCAGCCAGTTTTACCTGAAAGGAAATAACACACCCATAAAAAAACCACAATAACATTGCAATAGCATTGCCGCCTTAGTTGCTATCGTCATGCTAATTGTGTTTAAAGGTGTGCTTTTAAAAATACTTTTCTCCCGACAGAAAAAAAACAGACTTATGCATTTAGGGTTGCAAAGCAGGATGGATGAACGACCTGGGCAGACTTTATCTGTACTCTGTAGTCCACGCTTTTCCTCTGCAGGAAGTCGGTGAGCTGCAGATGTCTCTCTTTCTTGGCATTTTCTACTTCTGCGTCTTGCTCCACCCGTGCCAAGTCCCTGCACACCGCACCAATGAAAGGTAAAGGGTGCAGCAGCCCGACCTTTACTAACTCACGCCACTGTTGGCACAAAGGCTTCCACTATGGGGAGCTGAAGAGCCCCTCCAGAGGGTATTTGGCCACTTGTTTCATAGTGGCCAGACATCTAAACTCATAACTATTTTATTTCACCAGATAAAGCCCACTGAGCTATTAGCTATCTTTCAGAAGCGAACTGGCCACAAATGATTGCTCAAAGAAGTGGCTTATCACATTGAAATATAGCAGCCAAATACTCCAAAATGCATGTTTCTAAATGTGGAGAAAAAAACCAGAGGTCCTGGAGAAAAATCCACGCAACCACGGGGAGAACATGCAAACTCCAAATGCAAACTCCAAAAATACAGGGGTCAAGGTTGGTATTGAACCCACGACCCCCTGGATACCAC